CCGGTTGATAAGTCATCTTCCGAAATGTAAGGAAATTCAATATTAAACTATATCTCACGGCACGTCTCAAACTTTTCGGAATTATGTTTGTGTAATGAATAATCTATATGTAGAATATTTAGCTAGGGATTTTATATTGCATATAAAAAAAACTAGCTAAATATGCCCTAAAGGTGTCGGGCTCATATATATATGTATGTGTGTATGTATGGATGGATGTATGCATGTACGTATGTGCATATGTACGTATTACGTAGGTAGGTAGGTAGGTAGGTAGGTAGGTAGGTAGGTAGGTAGGTAGGTAGGTCGGTGGGTGGGTGGGTGGGTGGGTGGGTGGGTGGGTAGGTGGGTATATATTTGCATATGCGTGTATGAGTGTATGTGTATTGTGTTTATATATATATATGTATATACACATGTTTAGAGAGTGTGTCGGTCTGTGTTTGTGTGTATGCATGTCTGTATACACATATGTGTTTTTGTTGTGTATGAGTGTGTGTATACATACATACATACATACATACATACATACATACATACATACATATATATATATATATGGAGCATCGTCGGAACTCCGAAACCCTAATGGCGCCCGGAGGTGGAAGGCTTCCGCGACAAGATTAACAAGGTGGAGGCCATATTGAGGGTTTAGGGTTTAGGGTTTATAAACCCAAAATCCAAGTTCAGCCCTCAGTCGAATCTCCGGCGAGATCCCAAAGCACCCTAACCCCTAAGCCCTAGACAACACCCCCACGAAATATCCTCGCACTCCCGGGCTCAAGAGCTCCCAGGAACCCTAAACTCTGGGAATTCCGGTGTGTTCCTTATTGTGGGTAATGCAGGGTTTATATCATCAATCGTATCTCGGGGTACTGGTTCCGCTTCCTAAACACCCCCCAAAGCTCTGCGCCTACAGCCGGTCCCCTCGAATTCCAACTACTCTCCGCCCGTGTCTTCAACAGGCAAGCAGCACTGCTAAGACATCCCCTAAAACCTAAACCCTAGATCCTAAACCCTAAACCCTAAACCTAAGAAATCCAATGGAGCGATTGCTTGTAGTGCGGCACACCAGCGGCCGACAAACTTCCAGCCTTCCAGTCCTATCATCAAATACTGCGCTCTGCAGTACCATACTTGATTTTTTTTTTTTGGGGGGGGTGGACTTGTTCCTTAAGGTAACCATATGAAATAAAAGTCTATACTTTTTTCTCCCTGGTTACTTCAAAGTCTAGCAAACCTAAACCCCTAAACCCACGAGCAGCGGAGGACTTTGTGTATAGCTGTATACTTTTTTAAGGCCCAACTATCTAAACTGTGTGTATTCCGGCCTGCGCAATTATTGGCACCCCGAACATGTTTGAAGTATACAAAACCCCCAAACCCTGTTCTACTGATTACGAAGTTTGTTCTACATATAACATGAATTGCCAGCAACCCCTCAAGTAAACCCTTAAAGAAGCCTTGATTTCTTATCCAGAGAAGCCCTGGCAGGGCATCCTCACCTCTCGCCGAACGCAGCGATTGGTTCTACTCCACAGCTCCAAGAGCTATCTGGTCGGGAGCTGAGTTAAGAGGCTGGGTTGAGGGTTGAGGGTTTGGGGTTTCGCGGATTTCTAGGATGTTTGGGGGTTCTGTGTCTAGTTAGGGGAGGGCTTAAGATTCAGGGAGTAGTAGCCCACTTGAGTGGAGTTTGGGCTTAGGGCCCAGACCTAAGTTTAGGCTTTCAAGGGTCATGCGATTTTCCTAGGTCGCATTAGAGAGACCCCTTAAAAGGGACCCTTCTTAACCCTACCTATGGCTCTCTTAACCCTAAACCCTAAACCCTACACCCTAAACCCTAAACAAAAAAACCCACTATGGATATCCCCAAGGGTCCCCCTAATCCTAACTCCCAGGTTTTAGGCTCCATTGGGTTTAGGGTTTAGGGTTTAGGGTTTTAGGGTTTAGGGTTTAGGGTTTAGGGTTTAGGGTTTCGGGTTTAGGGTTTAGGGTTTAGTGTTTCGGGTTTCCGGTTTAGGGTTTAGGGGTTTGGGGATGATTGCAGAGGTCTCCAGACCTATAACATACCGAGAAACCTTCTTCTAGTTTGTTAATAGCAAACCCTCAAACCCCCTCAAGACTTTCATTATGCCCTAAGCCCTAAACCCCAAACTATAGAAACCGCCATAGACCCAACAAGCACCCCTAAACCCCTAAACCCCTAAACCCCTAAACCCTGAACCCCCTGAACCCTACATGTTTCTCAGTCCCTGTCTCTGCCTGCCTCGGGATTTTTCCCAGGAGCGGGCCGCGCGGAGGATAGAGGCGGCACAGTGGTTTACAGAAGGGCTTAGGGATCAGGATTTACAGGGTTTAGGATTTGGGGTTTAGGGTTTAGGATTTAGGGTTTAGTTGTGGGTCTATATAGATCGGGTTTAGTCCCTGGGCTGTTTGTATTGTTGGGGGTGCTTCTTCTTCCTGCGGAGTACATCTGTTGCAAAGCAGATCAGATCAACGCAGCCACCCCGTCCCGAAATTGCTGCCCAGAAAGTCGTTCACTTCAGGACTTTAGGCGTCAAGCACACCACAATGCCCAGGTTTTTATGTGTTTCTTCTACTCTGAGGCCTTCTGTCGCAACCGATGAGGGCCACTGCTTCGTCTCCCGCGATTGAACCACGTAAGCCTTATCTGAGCTCTACTCTCCCCTGTGCGGTTCCATTCCTGCTTGACAGGTCCTATTGCTAGGTCCCTATGTTGAGGAACAGCGGTCACCGACGAGATGAACGTCGTGGGTAGTGCTTAGGGCGGGTCCCGAGCCACCGCCGGAAAGATGCATTCAGAATCCGGTACTCAGAGAGCTCGCACCGTATAGGAGTTAGAACAGAAAGCAACAGTATTCCTTTTATGGCCCCTAGGTTTCAGATACCCCACTCCCATACACCCTGTATGAACCCGATCCCAGTCATGAAGGCCTTCTGCTAATTACGGCCCTGGACCCACGATCCTCCGCCCAGCCCTGTTTGCGGTTTAGGGTTTACGGCTTAGGGATTATTGTAGGGGCCTCAATAATTACCTCTACTGTTTTGGGGGGGTTCCTGACTATAGTTATAGTATATTATACGCCAACACCCTACTGGAACTATTAAGGCCCCTACAGTACGGCCCTGAGCGTGACAAATCCGGAAATCCGGAGAGGTCGCCAAGCAACAGCGCTGGCCTCAGTTCTGGGCGGGCGCCACGCTGATTTGTTAAAGCAATGTTTTTCGACTCTAAACCCTAGGCCCCAAACCCGAAAAATCCCTAAAACATAAGCTTTTGTTACCCAGGGCTTTATCGGCTTGTTTGGTTTCGCCAGGGTTTGAAGGACCCCGGGGCCGAACAAAAATAGGTTTGGGGTTGCCAGTAACTGTAGGTCTATGGTTTAGGGTGTAAGAGAGGGTCCGTATGAATTACTCAGAGTATTTTGGGTGGATCATTATTATAATCTGGTATAATGGCCCCAAAACCCTATTCTAATTATTAAGGCCCCTCCAGTAAGGTTAGGGTGTAGGGTTTAGTGGTCTGGGGCAACAGGTTCTGAGACACT